CATAAACATTTCATTACACCAAATACACAAAATACTGTTATTTTTAGCAGCATCATATGACCCCTTTAAATAATATAATAAATAAAAAGAAAGAAAAGATAGAATAGAAAAAGAATAGAGCAAGCTAGTGTTAGGTCTTTTTTGCTTTTGTTAATTGTATAGTAAATGAAAAGAAAACCGACAGAATACAAAAAGATTAGGAAAAAAAAACAAAAAACACTAACACTTGCTAAGAAAACAAGCAGCAAATGAATAGAGTGCAAGTCTAAAAGGGACAAGTGTTTTTTTTTTCTTGTGAAAACGTTGTGTGATGTTGCCTAACTAACTGTATTTTGATTTTTTACCTCAGCATGCTTACTTGTCTGGCGTTAATGAAGCATTAATGTCAAGCCCCGGAGTCAATGTGACCCTGGACAATTTAAACCCTGGTTTAACCTGGATTACAGGTAAATAAAAAACTTAAATGATTAAATTAAAATTTACCGTACCTAAAAGTTAAATAAAAACTGTACTGTACTTAAAAAGAAAAAAAATGTACTGTACTTAATGTACAGTACTTGATCAAAAAGTTACAGGCATCATTTAGCCACCTTGCAAACTTTTTTAAAGTGTTTTAACATTAATTTATATTTAATTCAGTGATTCCTCTGCGTACCACTAAAGGGAGCCCCACACTTTGAGAATCAGTGACGTGACATGTGGCCAAGTAGGGCTGGGCAAAAAAATAAATTTTTCGATTAATCGTTTTTTTAAATGACATCGATTCGATATCGATTCTCAAAAGCCGCGAATCGATCTTTTCCGGGATTTATTTCAGCACATTTAAAACAAGATCTGATTAACGTGAATCTTATCATTAGTCTTATTTTATCATTAGTCTTCCCCGACGGGGAGAGCTAATGCTTTAGGGGGAAGTTGTGGCCTAATGGTTAGAGAGTCGGACTCGTACCCAAACAAAATAATTAAAATGTATACAAAAAGTATTATAATGATTGCTTTTATATTATTAGTAATTAGGGCTGGGCAAAAAAAATTAATCGATTTTTCGATTAATCGTTTTTTTAAATGACATTCTCGATTCTCAAAAGCCGCAAATCGATCTTTCCCGGGATTAATTTCAGCACATTTAAAAGATCTGATTAACGTGAATCTTATCATTAGTCTTCTCCACTAGATGTCACCCTTATTTACCATGCGCGATGTTACAACAGAAAGCCTGTCATTCATTCAGCGCTTATCATGGCCATATGCATGATTCGCAATTCTCAGGTGAAATGCTATAGTAATACTATAAATCTGCGGAAGTCATTTCTAAATGTGCCTAAACGGTGACAGCGTTTAGGAGCCTATCACGCATAAGGCGCCATGATTTCCGCAATGAATGAATGGCGGATGTTGCGGCACATCACCTTGTTTACTACACACATACTAAAGCGCGGATGACGCTCGCGGTGTTTTCAGCTTCTGCCGTCTCACTATATGATGATATGAACACGAATGTCATCTCCAGCTGCTCGGAGAGTCACTTCATTAGCATTTTACCATTTCATTTAAGAAAACTACCATCATATCACATACACAGCAGCTGCAAGTTCTTCACGGCAACCCGTCAAAATAAAAGTTTAGTTTAACGTTATACTGTCAGAATATATTACTATTTAGCAGTCTTAAGACTCAATGCTACTACTGCTAATAAATGTTAATAAATCTTTATTTTTAAAGGAGTAAATCACATCTGTTTTATTTTTAATTTTAACAGTAAACCTATGTTGTGCAGCATTTTGTTTGCCAAAAAAAATAAAAGGGTTTAATTTTAATTTGATTATAAATTAAATTAATGTTTTATGCCTTCATCTGATTACCAGAAAAATTAAGAACATTTTATAGGGCCCTACTATTGTTTAAAAATCACCCTATACAAAAAAAAAGAATAGGTTTAAAATACAGGCATGTGGTTCTTAATTTATTTTTATTAATTCACTATTTGTAAACTGATGTTTACTGTTAATTTTTTAGAAATATCAATAGCATTTGTATTAAAACTATATTAACTGAATGTAATAAAAAAAAAAAATCGATAATCGAATCGAACCAAGAGCTTGCGAATCGAAATCGAATCGAAGCATCTGAAACGATACCCAGCACTATGGCCAAATATGGTTACCCATACTAGGAATTAGTGCTCTGCATTTAACCCATCCTAAGTGCACACACACAGCAGTGAACACACACCCGGAGCAGTTGGGGGTTCGGTGCCTTGCTCAAGGGTCTCACCTCAGTCATGGTATTGAATGTGGAAGAGAGCGCTGTACATTCACTCCACCCACCTACAATCCCTGCCAGTACGAGACTCGAACCCACAACCTTTGGGTTACGAGTCAGACTCTCTAACCATTAGGCCACAACTTTCCACGTTATTAATAACTTTAATTAATAACTTTAATTCAGTTACATAGAAACGTAGATTATTCTAAATTGAATCCGAAAAATAAGACTGATTAGACTTGGTTAACTGCTAGTTGGTCAGACTACACCGAGAGGCTAAATTTAAGCAACTGGCCCCAGATTAGTGTTGCTCAGTGTATGTTTGAGCCGCCATGCGCCCCCTGAGCAGTTGGGGGTTCGGTGCCTTGCTCAAGGGCACCTCAGTCGTGGTATTGAATGTGGAAGAGAGCGCTGTACATTCCCTCCCCCCACCTACAATTCCTGCCGGACCTGAGACTCGAACTCGCAACCTTTGGGTTAATGAGTCCGACTCTCTAACCATTAGGCCACGACTTCCCCGACTGTCATTTGCTGTGAAATTGAGAGAATTCACAGCAAATGACAGAAGCTCCTCTGTTCTGGTACCCTGCACTGAGGACATCTTCCTGTGCCATATGTTACGATGTGTTGTTGCATCTGGGATAATTCAACTACAAAGCCATTGCCATTCAACCAAACCAAGTGTCTCTTTCTTACCTTTTTATAATCTGAAGAACCTTCTTTTGCCACAAAGAACCTTTTGTGAAACAAGAAAGGTTCTTCAGATGTTAAAGGTTCTTTATGGA